CCACGCCCCATTCTCCCGCTTTCCATCACCCCGCCCCATTCTCCCGCTTTCCATCACTCCGCCCCATTCTCCCGCTTTCCATCACCCCGCCCCATTCTCCTTCTTTCCATCACCCCACCCCATTCTTCTCCTTCCATCACCCCGCCTCATTCTACCTCCTTCCATCACCCCGCCCCATTCTCCCGCTTTCCATCACCCCGCCCCATTCTCCCGCATTCCATCACCCCGCCCCATTCTCCCACTTTCTATCACCCCAGCCTATTCTCCCGCTTTCCATCTCCCTGCCCCATACTCCCCGCTTTCCATCACCCCGCCCCATTCTCCCGCTTTCCATCACCCCGCCCCATTCTCCCGCTTTCGATCGCCCCGCCCCATTCTCCCTCCTTCCATCACCCCGCCCCCCATTCTCCCGCTTTCCATCACCCAGCCCCATTCTCCCACTTTCCATCACCCTGCCTTATTTTCCCGCTTTCTATCACCCCGCCCCATTCTCACGCTTTCCATCACCATGCCCCAATCTCCCGCTTTCCATCACCCCGCCCCATTCTCCCTCCTTCCATCACCCCGCCCCATTCTCCTGCTTTCCATCACCCCGCCCCATTCTCCCGCTTTCCATCACCCCGCCCCATTCTCCCGCTTTCCATCACCCCGCCCCATTCTCCCGCTTTCCATCACCCCGCCCCATTCTTGAGCTTTCCATCACCCCGCCCCATTCTCCCGCTTTCCATCACCACGCCCCATTCTCCCTCCTTCCATCACCCCGCCCCATTCTCCCGCTTTCCATCACCCAGCCCCATTCTCCCTCCTTCCATCACCCCGCCTCATTCTACCTCCTTCCATCACCCCGCCCCATGCTCCCGCTTTCCATCACCCCGCCCCATTCTCCCGCTTTTCATCACCCGCCCCATTCTCCCACTTTCCATCACCCCGCCCCATTCTCCCGCTTTCCATCACCCCGCCCCATTCTCCCTCCTTCCATCACCCCGCCCCATTCTCCCGCTTTCCATCAGCCCACCCCATTCACCCGCTTTCCATCACACCGCCCCATTCTCCCGCTTTCCATCACCCCGCCCCATTCTCCCGCTTTCCATCACCCCGCCCCTTCTCCCATCACCCCGCCCCATTCTCCCGCTTCCATCACCACGCCCCATTCTCCCGCTTTCCATCACCCCGCCCCATTCTCCCGCTTTCCATCACTCCGCCCCATTCTCCCGCTTTCCATCACCCCGCCCCATTCTCCTTCTTTCCATCACCCCACCCCATTCTTCTCCTTCCATCACCCCGCCTCATTCTACCTCCTTCCATCACCCCGCCCCATTCTCCCGCTTTCCATCACCCCGCCCCATTCTCCCGCATTCCATCACCCCGCCCCATTCTCCCACTTTCTATCACCCCAGCCTATTCTCCCGCTTTCCATCTCCCTGCCCCATACTCCCGCTTTCCATCACCCCGCCCCATTCTCCCACTTTCCATCACCCCGCCCCATTCTCCCGCTTTCGATCGCCCCGCCCCATTCTCCCTCCTTCCATCACCCCGCCCCATTCTCCCGCTTTCCATCACCCAGCCCCATTCTCCCACTTTCCATCACCCCGCCTTATTTTCCCGCTTTCTATCACCCCGCCCCATTCTCACGCTTTCCATCACCATGCCCCAATCTCCCGCTTTCCATCACCCCGCCCCATTCTCCCTCCTTCCATCACCCCGCCCCATTCTCCCGCTTTCCATCACCCCGCCCCATTCTCCCGCTTTCCAAAACCCCGCCTCATTCTCCCTCCTTCCATCACCCGCCCCATTCCTCCTCCTTCCATCACCCCGCCCCATTCTCCCGCTTTCCATCAGCCCACCCCATTCTCCCACTTTCCATCACCCCGCCCCATTCTCCCGCTTTCCATCACCCCGCCCCATTCTCCCGCTTTCGATCACCCCGCCCCATTCTCCCGCTTTCCATCACCCCGCCCCATTCTCCCGCTTTCCATCACCCCGCCCCATTCTCCCGCTTTCCATCACCCCGCCCCATTCTCCCGCTTTCTATCACCCCGCCCCATTCTCCCTGTTTCCATCACCTCGCCCCATTCTCCCTCTTTCCATCTCCCCGCCCCATTCTCCCGCTTTCCATCACCCCGCCCCATTCTCCCTCTTTCCATCACCCCGCCCCATTCTCCCGCCTTTCATCACCTGCCCCATTCCTCCCGCTTTCCATCACCCCGCCCAATTCTCCCGCTTTCCATCACCCCGCCCCGTTCTCCCTCTTTCCATCACCTTGCCCCATTCTCCCGCTTTCCATCACCCCGCCCCATTCTCCCGCTTTCCATCACCCCGCCCCATTCTCCCTCTTTCCATCACCCCGCCCCATTCTCCCTCTTTCCATCACCCCGCCCCATTCTCCAGCCTTTCATCACCCCGCCCCATTCTCCCGCTTTCCATCACCCCGCCCAATTCTCCCGCTTTCCATCACCCCGCCCCATTCTCCCGCCTTCCATCACCCCGCCCCATTCTCCCTCCTTCCATCACCCCGCCACATTCTCCCTCCTTCCATCACCCTGCCCCATTCTCCCGCTTTCCATCACCCCGCCCCATTCTCCCTCCTTCCATCACACCGCCCCATTCTCCCTCCTTCCATCACCCCGCCCCATTCTCCCTCCTTCCATCAACCCGCCCCATTCTCCCGTTTTCCATCACCCCGCCCCATTTTCCCGCTTCCCATAACCCTGCCCCCTTCTCCCGCTTTCCATCACCCCGTCAAATTCTCCCGCTTTCTATCACCCCGCCCCATTCTCCTACTTTCAATCACCCCGCCCCATTCTCCCGATTTCAATCACCCCGCCCCATTCTCCCGAATTCCATCACCCCGCCCCATTCTCCCGCTTTCAATCACCCCGCCCCATTCTCCCAATTTCCATCACCCCCGCCCCATTCTCTCGCTTTCCATCACCCCGCCCCATTCTCCCGCTTTCCATCACCCCACCCCATTCTCCCGCTTTCCATCATCCCGCCCCATTCTCCCTCCTTCCATCACCCCGCCCTATTCTTCAGCTTCCCATCATCCCGCCCCATTCCCCCGCTTTCCATAACCCCTCCCCATTCTCCCTCCTTCCATCACCCCGCCCCATGCTCCCGCTTTCCATCACCCGCCCCATTCTCCCGCTTTCCATCACCTCGCCCCATTCTCCCGCTTTCCATCACCCCACCCCATTCTTTTGCTTTCCATCACCCCGCCCCATTCTCCCGCTTTCCATCACCCTGCCCCATTCACCCGCTTTCCATCACCTGCCCCATTCTCCCTCTTTCCATCACCCCGCCCCATTCTCCCGCTTTCCATCACCCCGCTCCATTCTCCCGCCTTCCATCACCCTGCCCCATTCTCCTGCTTTCCATCACCCCGCCCCATTCTCCCGCTTTTCATCACTCCGCCCCATTCTCCCGCTTTCCATCACCCCGACCCATTCTCCCACTTTCCATCACCCCGCCCCATTCTTCCGCTTTCCATCACCCGCCCCATTCTCCCGCTTTCCATCACCTCGCCCCATTCTCCCGCTTTCCATCACCCCGCCCCATTCTTTTGCTTTCCATCACCCCGCCCCATTCTCCTGCTTTCCACCACCCGGCCCCATTCACCCGCTTTCCATCACCCGCCCCATTCTCCCGCTTTCCATCACCCCGCCCCATTCTCCCGCTTTCCATCACCCCGCTCCATTCTCCCGCCTTCCATCACCCCGCCCCATTCTCCCGCTTTCCATCACCCCGCCCCATTCTCCCGCTTTCGATCACTCCGCCCCATTCTCCCGCTTTCCATCACCCCGACCCATTCTCCCACTTTCCATCACCCCGCCCCATTCTCCCTCCTTCCATCACCCCGCCTCATTCTCCCTCCTTCCATCACCCCGCCCCATTCTCCCGCTTTCCATCACCCCGCCCCATTCTCCCGCTTTCCATCACCCAGCCCCATTCTCCCGCTTTCCATCACCCCGCCCCATTTTCCCACTTTCCATCACCCCGCCCCATTCTCCCGCTTTCCATCACCCTGCCCCAATCTCCAGCTTTCCATCACCCCGCCCCATTCTCCCTCCTTCCATCACCCCGCCCCATTCTCCCGCTTTCCATCACCCCGCCCCATTCTCCCGCTTTCCATCACCCAGCCCCATTCTCCCGCTTTCCATCACCCCGCTCCATTCTCCCGCTTTCCATCACCCCACCCCATTCTCCCTCCTTCCATCACCCCGCCCCATTCTCCCTCCTTCCATCACCCCGCCCCATTCTCCCCCTTTCCATCACCCCGCCCCATTCTCCCTCCTTCCATCACCCCGCCCCATTCTCCCTCCTTCCATCACCCCGCCCCATTCTCCCTCCTTCCATCACCCCGCCCCATTCTCCCGCTTTCCATCACCCCGCCCCATTTTCCCCCTTCCCATAACCCCACCCCATTCTCCCGCTTTCCATCACCCCGCCAAATTCTCCCGCTTTCTATCACCCCGCTCCATTCTCCCTCCTTCCATCACCCCGCCCCATTCTCCCGCTTTCAATCACCCCGCCCCATTCTCCCGATTTCCATCACCCCGCCCCATTCTCTCGCTTTCCATCACCCTGCCCCATTCTCCCGCTTTCCATCACCCCGCCCCATTCTCCCGCTTTCCATCATCCCGCCCCATTCTCCCTCCTTCCATCACCCCGCCCTATTCTTCCGCTTCCCATCATCCCGCCCCATTCCCCCGCTTTCCATCACCCCTCCCCATTCTCCCTCCTTCCATCACCCCGCCCCATTCTCTCGCTTTCCATCACCCCGGCCCATTCTCCCGCTGTCCATGACCCCGCCCCATTCTCCCGCTTTCCATCACTCCGCCCCATTATCCCTTCTTCCATCACCCCGCCCCATTCTCCCTCCTTCCATCACCCCGCCCCATTCTCCCGCTTTCCATCACCCCGCCTCATTCTCCCGCTTCCCATAACCCCACCCCATTCTCCCGCTTTCCATCACCCCGCCACATTCTCCCACTTTCCATCAGCCCGCCCCCTTCTCTCTCCTTCCATCACCCCGCCCCATTCTCCCTCCTTCCATCACCCTGCCAAAATTCTCCCGCTTTCCATCAGCCCGCCCCATTCTCCTGCTTTCCATCACCCCTCCCCTTTCTCCCGCTTTCCATCACCCCGCCCCATTCTCCCGCTTTCCATCACCCCGCTCCATTCTCCCGCCTTCCAACACCCCGCCCCATTCTCCCGCTTTCCATCACCCCGCCCCATTCTCCCGCTTTCGATCACTCCGCCCCATTCTCCCGCTTTCCATCACCCCGACCCATTCTCCCACTTTCCATCACCCCGCCCCATTCTCCCTCCTTCCATCACCCCGCCTCATTCTCCCTCCTTCCATCACCCCGCCCCATTCTCCCGCTTTCCATCACCCCGCCCCATTCTCCCGCTTTCCATCACCCAGCCCCATTCTCCCGCTTTCCATCACCCCGCCCCATTTTCCCGCTTTCCATCACCCTGCCCCATTCTCCCGCTTTCCATCACCCTGCCCCAATCTCCCGCTTTCCATCACCCCGCCCCATTCTCCCTCCTTCCATCACCCCGCCCCATTCTCCCGCTTTCCATCACCCCGCCCCATTCTCCCGCTTTCCATCACCCAGCCCCATTCTCCCGCTTTCCATCACCCCGCTCCATTCTCCCGCTTTCCATCACCCCACCCCATTCTTCCTCCTTCCATCACCCCGCCCCATTCTCCCTCCTTCCATCACCCCGCCCCATTCTCCCGCTTTCCATCACCCCGCCCCATTCTCCCTCCTTCCATCACCCCGCCCCATTCTCCCTCCTTCCATCACCCCGCCCCATTCTCCCTCCTTCCATCACCCCGCCCCATTCTCCCGCTTTCCATCACCCCGCCCCATTTTCCCCCTTCCCATAACCCCACCCCATTCTCCCGCTTTCCATCACCCCGCCAAATTCTCCCGCTTTCTATCACCCCGCTCCATTCTCCCTCCTTCCATCACCCCGCCCCATTCTCCCGCTTTCAATCACCCCGCCCCATTCTCCCGATTTCCATCACCCTGCCCATTCTCTCGCTTTCCATCACCCCGCCCCATTCTCCCGCTTTCCATCACCCCGCCCCATTCTCCCGCTTTCCATCATCCCGCCCCATTCTCCCTCCTTCCATCACCCCGCCCTATTCTTCCGCTTCCCATCATCCCGCCCCATTCCCCCGCTTTCCATCACCCCTCCCCATTCTCCCTCCTTCCATCACCCCGCCCCATTCTCTCGCTTTCCATCACCCCGGCCCATTCTCCCGCTGTCCATGACCCCGCCCCATTCTCCCGCTTTCCATCACTCCGCCCCATTATCCCTTCTTCCATCACCCCGCCCCATTCTCCCTCCTTCCATCACCCCGCCCCAGTCTCCCGCTTTCCATCACCCCGCCTCATTCTCCCGCTTCCCATAACCCCACCCCATTCTCCCGCTTTCCATCACCCCGCCACATTCTCCCACTTTCCATCAGACCGCCCCCTTCTCTCTCCTTCCATCACCCCGCCCCATTCTCCCTCCTTCCATCACCCTGCCCCATTCTCCCGCTTTCCATCAGCCCGCCCCATTCTCCTGCTTTCCATCACCCCTCCCCTTTCTCCCGCTTTCCATCTCCCCGCCCCATTCTCCCGCTTTCCATCACCCCGCCCCATTCTCCCGCTTTCCATCACCCCGCCCCATTCTTCCGCTTCCCATCATCCCGCCCCATTCCCCCGCTTTCCATCACCCCTCCCCATTCTCCCTCCTTCCATCACCCCGCTCCATTCACTCGCTTTCCATCACCGCGCCCCATTCTCCCGCTTTCCATCACCCCGACCCATTCTCCCGCTTTCCATCACCCTGCCCCATTCTCCCTCCTTCCATCACCCCGCCCCATTCTCCCGCTTTCCATCACCCCGCCCCATTCCCCCTCCTTCCATCACCCCGCCCCATTCTCCCTCATTCCATCACCCTGCCCCATTCTCCCGCTTTCCATCACCCCGCCCCATTCTCCCGCTTCCCATAACCCCACCCCATTCCCCCGCTTTCCATCACCCCGCCACACTTTCCCACTTTCCATCACCCCGCCCCATTCTCCCTCCTTCCATCAACCCGCCCCATTCTCCCGCTTTCCATCACCCCGCCCCATTCTCCCGCTTTCCATCACCCCACCCCTTTCTCCCGCTTTCCATCACCCCGCCCCATTCTCCCTCCTTCCATCACCCCGCCCCATTCTCCCTCATTCCATCACCCTGCCCCATTCTCCCGCTTTCCATCACCCCGCCCCATTCTCCCGCTTCCCATAACCCCACCCCATTCCCCCGCTTTCCATCACCCCGCCACACTTTCCCACTTTCCATCACCCCGCCCCATTCTCCCTCCTTCCATCAACCCGCCCCATTCTCCCGCTTTCCATCACCCCGCCCCATTCTCCCGCTTTCCATCACCCCACCCCTTTCTCCCGCTTTCCATCTCCCTGCCCCATTCTCCCGCTTTCCATCACCCCGCCCCATTCTCCCGCTTTCCATCACCCTGCCCCAATCTCCCGCTTTCCATCACCCCACCCCAGTCTCCTTCCTTCCATCACCCGGCCCCAATCTCCCGCTTTCCATCACCCAGCCTCATGCTCCCGCTTTCCATCACCCCGCCCCATTCTCCCGCTTTCCATCACCCCGCCCCATTCTCCCGCTTTCCATCACCCCGCCCCATTCTCCCTCCTTCCATCACCCCGCCCCATTCTCCTGCTTTCCATCACCCCGTCCCATTCTCCCTCGTTCCATCACCCCGCCCCATTCTCCCGCTTTTCATCAGCCCGCCCCATTCTCCCGCTTCCCATAACCCCACCCCCTTCTCCCGCTTTCGATCACCCCGCCACATTCTCCCGCTTTCTATCACCCCGCCCCATTCTCCCTCCTTCCATCACCCCGCCCCATTCTCCTGCTTTCCATCACCCCGCCCCATTCTACCGCTTTCCATCATCCCGCCCCATTCTCCCTCCTTCCATCACCCCGCCCCATTCTCCCGCTTTCCATCACTCCGCCCCAATCTCCCTCCTTCCATCACCCCGCCCCATTCTCCCTCCTTCCATCACCCCGCCCCATTCTCCCGCTTTCCATCGCCCCGCCCCATTCTCCCGCTTCCCATAACCCCACCCTATTCTCCCGCTTTCCATCACCCCGCCACATTCTCCCACTTTCCATCACCCCGCCCCATTCTCCCGCTTTCCATCACCCCGCCCTATTCTCCCTCCTTCCATCACCCCGCCCCATTCTCCTTCATTCCATCACCCCGCCCCATTCTCCCGCTTTCCATCACCCCGCCCCATTCTCCCTCCTTCCATCACCCCGCCCCATTCTCCCTCATTCCATCACCCCGCCCCATTCTCCCGCTTTCCATCATCCCGCCCCATTCTCCCTCCTTCCATCATCCCGCCCCATTCTCCCGCTTTCCATCACTCCGCCCCATTCTCCCTCCTTCTATCACCCCACCCTATTCTCCCTCCTTCCATCACCCCGCCCCAGTCTCCCGCTTTCCATCACCCCGCCCCATTCTCCTGCTTTCCATCACCCCGTCCCATTCTCCCTCCTTCCATCACCCCGCCCCATTCTCCCGCTTTTCCTCACCCCGCCCCTTTCTCCCGCTTTCCATCACCCCGCCCCATTCTTCCGCTTTCCATCACCCCACCCCTTTCTCCCGCTTTCCATCACCCCGCCTCATTCCCCCGCTTTCCATCACCCCGCCACACTTTCCCACTTTCCATCACCCCGCCCCATTCTCCCTCCTTCCATCAACCCGCCCCATTCTCCCGCTTTCCATCACCCCGCCCCATTCTCCCGCTTTCCATCACCCCACCCCTTTCTCCCGCTTTCCATCACCCCGCCCCATTCTCCCTCCTTCCATCACCCCGCCCCATTCTCCCTCATTCCATCACCCTGCCCCATTCTCCCGCTTTCCATCACCCCGCCCCATTCTCCCGCTTCCCATAACCCCACCCCATTCCCCCGCTTTCCATCACCCCGCCACACTTTCCCACTTTCCATCACCCCGCCCCATTCTCCCTCCTTCCATCAACCCGCCCCATTCTCCCGCTTTCCATCACCCCGCCCCATTCTCCCGCTTTCCATCACCCCACCCCTTTCTCCCGCTTTCCATCTCCCTGCCCCATTCTCCCGCTTTCCATCACCCCCGCCCCATTCTCCCGCTTTCCATCACCCTGCCCCAATCTCCCGCTTTCCATCACCCCACCCCAGTCTCCCTCCTTCCATCACCCGGCCCCAATCTCCCGCTTTCCATCACCCAGCCTCATTCTCCCGCTTTCCATCACCCCGCCCCATTCTCCCGCTTTCCATCACCCCGCCCCATTCTCCCGCTTTCCATCACCCCGCCCCATTCTCCGTCCTTCCATCACCCCGCCCCATTCTCCTGCTTTCCATCACCCCATCCCATTCTCCCACCTTCCATCACCCCGCCCCATTCTCCCGCTTTTCATCAGCCCGCCCCATTCTCCCGCTTCCCATAACCCCACCCCCTTCTCCCGCTTTCGATCACCCCGCCACATTCTCCCGCTTTCTATCACCCCGCCCCATTCTCCCTCCTTCCATCACCCCGCCCCATTCTCCTGCTTTCCATCATCCCGCCCCGTTCTACCGCTTTCCATCATCCCGCCCCATTCTCCCTCCTTCCATCACCCCGCCCCATTCTCCCGCTTTCCATCACTCCGCCCCATTCTCCCTCCTTCCATCACCCCGCCCCATTCTCCCTCCTTCCATCACCCCGCCCCATTCTCCCGCTTTCCATCGCCCCGCCCCATTCTCCCGCTTCCCATAACCCCACCCTATTCTCCCGCTTTCCATCACCCCGCCACATTCTCCCACTTTCCATCACCCCGCCCCATTCTCCCGCTTTCCATCACCCCGCCCTATTCTCCCTCCTTCCATCACCCCGCCCCATTCTCCTTCATTCCATCACCCCGCCCCATTCTCCCGCTTTCCATCACCCCGCCCCATTCTCCCTCCTTCCATCACCCCGCCCCATTCTCCCTCATTCCATCACCCCGCCCCATTCTCCCGCTTTCCATCATCCCGCCCCATTCTCCCTCCTTCCATCATCCCGCCCCATTCTCCCGCTTTCCATCACTCCGCCCCATTCTCCCTCCTTCTATCACCCCACCCTATTCTCCCTCCTTCCATCATCCCGCCCCAGTCTCCCGCTTTCCATCACCCCGCCCCATTCTCCTGCTTTCCATCACCCCGTCCCATTCTCCCTCCTTCCATCACCCCGCCCCATTCTCCCGCTTTTCCTCACCCCGCCCCTTTCTCCCGCTTTCCATCACCCCGCCCCATTCTCCCGCTTTCCCTCACCCCGCAACCAGTCTCCCGCTTTCCATAGCCCCCCCCCCATTCTCCAGCTTTCCATCACCCCGCCCCCTTCTCCCGCTTTCCATCACCCCTCCCCATTCTTCGTCCTTCCATCACCCCACCCCATTCTCCCTCCTTCCATAACCCCGCCCATTCTCCTGCTTGCCATCACCCCGCCCCATTCTCCCGCTTTCCCTCACCCTGCCCCAGTCTCCTTCTTTCCGTCACCCCGCCCCACTCTCCCGCTTTCCATCACCCCGCCCTATTCTCCCTCCTTCCATCACCCCGCCCCATTCTCACTCCTTCCATCACCCCGCCCCATTCTCCCGCTTTCAATCACCCCGCCCCATTCTCCCTCCTTCCGTCACCCCCCCCCCCCTTCTCCTCCTTCCATAACCCCGCCCGATTCTCCCGCTTTCCATCACCCCGCCCCATTCTCCCGCTTTCCATCACCCCGCCCCATTCTCCCGCTTTCCATCACCTCTCCCCATTCTCCCGCTTTCCATCACTCCACCCCATTCTCCCGCTTTCCATCAGCCCGCCCCATTCTCACTCTTTCCATCACCCCACCCCATTCTCCCTCCGTCCATCACCCCGCCCCATTTGCCTGATTTCCATCGCCCCGCCCAATTCTCCCGTTTTCCATCACCCCGCCCCATTCTCCCACTATCCATCACCCCGCCTCATTATCCCGCTTTCCATCACCCCGCCCCATTCTCTCGCTTTCCATCACCCCGCCCCATTCTCTCGCTTTGCATCAACCCGCCCCATTCTCCCGCTTTCCATCACCCCGCCCCATTCTCCCGCTTTCCATCATCCCACGCCATTCTCCCTCCTTCCATCGCCCCGCCCCTTTCTCCCGCTTTCCATCGCCCTGCCCCATTCTCCCGCTTTCCATCACCCGGCCCCATTCTCCCGCTTTCCATCACCCCGCCCCATTCTCCCGCTTTCCATCACCCCGCCCCATTCTCCCAATCTCCATCACCCCGCCCCATTCTCCCTCCTTCCATCACCCCGCCCCATTCTCCCGCTTTCCATCACCCCGCCCCATTGGAATATGGGAGAAGGGGATGGAATATGGGAGAAGGGGATGGAATCTGGGAGAAGGGGATGGAATCTAGGAGAAGGGGATGGAATCAAAGAGAAGGGGATGGAGTCCGGGAGAAGGGGATGGAATCTGGGAGAAGGGGGTGGAATCAGGGAGAAGGGGATGGAATCCGGGAGAAGGGGATGGAATCTGGGAGAAGGGGATGGAATCCGGGAGAAGGGGATGGAATCTGGGAGAAGGGGATGGAATCTGGGAGAAGGGGATGGAATCTGGGAGAAGGGGATGGATCTGGGAGAAGGGGATGGAATCTGGGAGAAGGGGATGGAATCAGGGGGAAGGGGATGGAATCTGGGAGAAGGGGATGGAATCTGGGAGAAGGGGATGGAATCTGGGAGAAGGGGATAGAATCTGGGAGAAGGGGATAGAATCTGGGAGAAGGGGATGGAATCTGGGAGAAGGGGATGGAATTAGGGAGAAGGGGATGGAATCTAGGGGAAGGGGATGGAATCTGGGAGAAGGGGATGGAATCTGGGAGATGGGGATGGAATCTGGGAGAAGGGGATGGAATCTGGGAGAAGGGGATGGAATGAGGGAGAAGGGGATGGAATCTGGGAGAAGGGGATGGAATCTGGGTGAAGGGGATGGAATCTGGGAGAAGGGGATGGAATCTGGGAGAAGGGGATGGAATCTGGGAGAAGGGGATGGAATCTGGGAGAAGGGGATGGAATCTGGGAGAAGGGGATGGAATCTTGGAGAAGGGGATGGAATCAGGGAGAAGGGGATGGAATCTGGGAGAAGGGGATGGAATGAGGGAGAAGGGGATGGAATCGGGGAGAAGGGGATGGAATCTGGGAGAAGGGGATGGAATTTAGGAGAAGGGGATGGAGTCTGGGAGAAGGGGATGCAATCAGGGAGAAGGGGATGGAATCGGGGAGAAGGGGATGGAATCAAAGAGAAGGGGATGAAATTTGGGAGAATGGGATGGAATTTTGGAGAAGGAGATGGAATCTGGGAGAAGGGAATGGAATCTGGGAGAAGGGGATGGAATCAGGGAGAAGGGGATGGAATCCGAGAGAAGGGGATGGAATCTGGGAGAAGGGGATGGAATCTGGGAGATGGGGATGGAATCGGGGAGAAGGGGATGGAATCTGGGAGAAGGGGATGGAATGAGGGAGAAGGGGATGGAATCTGGGAGAAGGGGATGGAATCTGGGTGAAGGGGATGGAATCTGGGAGAAGGGGATGGAATCTAGGAGAAGGGGATGGAATCTGGGAGAAGGGGATGGAATCTAGGAGAAGGGGATGGAATCTGGGAGAAGGGGATGGAATCTTGGAGAAGGGGATGGAATCAGGGAGAAGGGGATGGAATCTGGGAGAAGGGGATGGAATGAGGGAGAAGGGGATGGAATCGGGGAGAAGGGGATGGAATCTGGGAGAAGGGGATGGAATTTAGGAGAAGGGGATGGAGTCTGGTAGAAGGGGATGCAATCAGGGAGAAGGGGATGGAATCGGGGAGAAGGGGATGGAATCAAAGAGAAGGGGATGAAATTTGGGAGAATGGGATGGAATTTTGGAGAAGGAGATGGAATCTGGGAGAAGGGAATGGAATCTGGGAGAAGGGGATGGAATCAGGGAGAAGGGGATGGAATCCGAGAGAAGGGGATGGAATCTGGGAGAAGGGGATGGAATCCGGGAGAAGGGGATGGAATCTGGGAGAAGGGGATGGAATCTGGGAGAAGGGGATGGAATCTGGGAGAAGGGGATGGAATCTGGGAGAAGGGGATGGAATCTGGGAGAAGGAGATGGAATCAGGGAGAAGGGGATGGAATCTGGGAGAAGGGGATGGAATCTGGGAGAAGGGGATGGAATTTGGGACAAGGGGATGGAATGTGGGAGAAAGGGATGGAATCAGGGAGAAAGGATGGAATGTGGGAGAAGGGGATGGAATATGGGAGAAGGGGATGGAATCTGGGAGAAGAGGATGGAATCTGGGAGAAGGGGATTGAATCTGGGAGAAGGGGATGGAATCTGGGAGAAGGGGATGGAATCTGGGAGAAGGCGATGGAATTTGGGAGAAGGGGACGGAATCTGGGAGAAGGGGATGGAATCTGGGAGAAGGGGATGGAATCTGGAAGAAAGGGATGGAATCTGGGAGAAGGGGATGGAATCTAGGAGAAGGGGATGGAATCAGGGAGAAGGGGATGGAATCTGGGAGAAGGGGATGGAATTTAGGAGAAGGGGATGGAATCTGGGAGAAGGGGATGCAGTCAGAGAGAAGGGGATGGAATCGGGGAGAAGGGGATGGAATCAAAGAGAAGGGGATGGAATTTGGGAGAATGGGATGGATTTGGGAGAAGGAGATGGAATCTGGGAGAAGGGAATGGAATCTGGGAGAAGGGGATGGAATCTGGGAGAAGGGGATGGAATCTGGGAGAAGGGGATGGAATCTGGGAGAAGGGGATGGAATCTGGGAGAAGGGGATGGAATCTGGGAGAAGGGGATGGAATCTGGGAGAAGGGGATGGAATCTGGGAGAAAGGGATGGAATCAGGGAGAAGGGGATGGAATCTGGGAGAAAGGGATGGAATTTAGGAGAAGGGGATGGAATTTGGGAGAAGGGGATGCAGTCAGAGAGAAGGGGATGGAATCGGGGAGAAGGGGATGGAATCAAAGAGAAGGGGATGGAATTTGGGAGAATGGGATGGATTTGGGAGAAGGAGATGGAATCTGGGAGAAGGGAATGGAATCTGGGAGAAGGGTATGGAATCTGGGAGAAGGGGATGGAATCTGGGAGAAGGGGATGGAATCTGGGAGAAGGGGATGGAATCTGGGAGAAGGGGATGGAATCTAGGAGAAGGGGATGGAATCTGGGAGAAGGGGATGGAATCTGGGAGAAGGGGATGGAATCTGGGAGAAGGGGATGGAATCTGGGAGAAGGGGATGGAATCTGGGAGAAGGGGATGGAATCTGGGAGAAGGGGATGGAATCAGGGAGAAGGTGATGGAATCGGGGAGAAGGGATAGAATCTAGGAGAAGGGGATGGAATCTGGGAGAAGGGGATGGAATCTGGGAGAAGGGGATGGAATCTGGGAGAAGGGGATGGAATCTGGGAGAAGGGGATGGAATCTGGGAGAAGGGGATGGAATCAGGGAGAAGGGGATGGAATCTGGGAGAAGGGGATGGAATCTGGGAGAAGGGGATGGAATCTGGGAGAAGGGGATGGAATTTGGGAGAAGGGGATGGAATCTGGGAGAAGGGGATGGAATCTGGGAGAAGGGGATGGAATCTGGGAGAAGGGGATGGAATTTGGGAGAAGGGGATGGAATCTGGGAGAAGGGGATGGAATCTGGGAGAAGGGGATGGAATCTGAGAGAAGGGGATGGAATCTGGGAGAAGGGGATGGAATCTGGGAGAAGGGGATGGAATCTGGGAGAAGGGGATGGAATCTGGGAGAAGGGGATGGAATCTGGGAGAAGGGGATGGAATCTGGGAGAAGGAGATGGAATTAGGGACAAGGGGATGGAATTTGGGAGAAGGGTATGGAATCAGGGAGAAAGGATGAAATGTGGGAGAAGGGGATGGAATCTGGGAGAAGGGGATGGAATCTGGGAGAAGGGGATGGAATATGGGAGAAGGGGATGGAATCTGGGAGAAGAGGATGGAGTCTGGGAGAAGGGGGTTGGAATCTGGGAGAATGGGAATGGAATTAGGGAGAAGGGGATGGAATGTGGGAGAAAGGGATGGAATTAGGGAGAAGGGGATGGAATCTGGGAGAAGGGGATGGAATTTAGGAGAAGGGGATGGAATCTGGGAGAAGGGGATGGAATCTGGGAGAAGGGGACGGAATCTGGGAGAAGGGGATGGAATCTGAGAGAAGGGGATGGAATCAGGGAGAAGGGGATGGAATCTGGGAGAAGGGGATGGAATCTGGGAGAAGGGGATGGAATCTGAGAGAAGGGGATGGAATCTGGGAGAAGGGGATGGAATCTGGGACAAGGTGATGGAATCGGGGAGAAGGGATAGAATCTGGGAGAAGGGGATGGAATCTCGGAGAAGGGGATGGAATCGGGGAGAAGGGGATGGAATTTGGGAGAAGGGGACGGAATCTGGGAGAAGGGGATGGAATCTGGGAGAAGGGGATGGAATCTGGGAGAAGGGGATGGAATCTAGGAGAAAGGGATGGAATTAGGGAGAAGGGGATGGAATCTGGGAGAAGGGGATGGAATTTAGGAGAACGGGATGGAATCTGGGAGAAGGGGATGCAGTCAGAGAGAAGGGGATGGAATCGGGGAGAAGGGGATGGAATCAAAGAGAAGGGGATGGAATTTGGGAGAATGGGATGGATTTGGGAGAAGGAGATGGAATCTGGGAGAAGGAATGGAATCTGGGAGAAGGGGATGGAATCTGGGAGAAGGGGATGGAATCTGGGAGAAGGGGATGGAATCTGGGAGAAGGGGATGGAATCTGGGAGAAGGGGATGGAATCTGGTAGAAGGGGATGTAATCAGGGAGAAGGGGATGGAATCTGGGAGAAGGGGATGGAATCTGGGAGAAGGGGATGGAATCGGGGAGAAGGGGATGGAATCTAGGAGAAGGGGATGGAATTTAGGAGAAGGGGATGGAATCGGGGAGAAGGGGATGGAATCAAAGAGAAGGGGATGGAATTTGGGAGAATGGGATGGAATTTGGGAGAAGGAGATGGAATCTGGGAGAAGGGAATGGAATCTGGGAGAAGGGGATGGAATATGGGAGAAGGGGATGGAATCTGGGAGAAGGGGATGGAATCTGGGAGAAGGGGATGGAATTTGGGAGAAGGGCATGGAATCAGGGAGAAGGGGATGGAATCTGGAAGAAGGGGATGGAATCTGGGAGAAGGGGATGGAATCTGGGGAAAGGGGATGGAATATGGGAGAAGGGGATGGAATCTGGGAGAAGGTGATGGAATCGGGAAGAAGGGATAGAATCTGGGAGAAGGGGATGGAATCTGGGAGAAGGGGATGGAATCTGGGAGAAGGGGATGGAATCTGGGAGAAGGGGATGGAATCGGGGAGAAGGGGATGGAATTTGGGAGAAGGTGATGGAATCGGGAAGAAGGGATAGAATCTGGGAGAAGGGGATGGAATCTGGGACAAGGTGATGGAATCGGGGAGAAGGGATAGAATCTGGGAGAAGGGGATGGAATCTCGGAGAAGGGGATGGAATCGGGGAGAAGGGGATGGAATTTGGGAGAAGGGGACGGAATCTGGGAGAAGGGGATGGAATCTGGGAGAAGGGGATGGAATCTGGGAGAAGGGGATGGAATCTAGGAGAAAGGGATGGAATTAGGGAGAAGGGGATGGAATCTGGGAGAAGGGGATGGAATTTAGGAGAACGGGATGGAATCTGGGAGAAGGGGATGCAGTCAGAGAGAAGGGGATGGAATCGGGGAGAAGGGGATGGAATCAAAGAGAAGGGGATGGAATTTGGGAGAATGGGATGGATTTGGGAGAAGGAGATGGAATCTGGGAGAAGGGAATGGAATCTGGGAGAAGGGGATGGAATTTGGGAGAAGGGGATGGAATCTGGGAGAAGGGGATGGAATCTGGGAGAAGGGGATGGAATCTGGGAGAAGGGGATGGAATCTGGTAGAAGGGGATGGAATCAGGGAGAAGGGGATGGAATCTGGGAGAAGGGGATGGAATCTGGGAGAAGGGGATGGAATCGGGGAGAAGGGGATGGAGTCTAGGAGAAGGGGATGGAATTTAGGAGAAGGGGATGGAATCGGGGAGAAGGGGATGGAATCAAAGAGAAGGGGATGGAATTTGGGAGAATGGGATGGAATTTGGGAGAAGGAGATGGAATCTGGGAGAAGGGAATGGAATCTGGGAGAAGGGGATGGAATATGGGAGAAGGGGATGGAATCTGGGAGAAGGGGATGGAATCTGGGAGAAGGGGATGGAATTTGGGAGAAGGGCATGGAATCAGGTAGAAGGGGATGGAATCTGGAAGAAGGGGATGGAATCTGGGAGAAGGGGATGGAATCTGGGGAAAGGGGATGGAATCTGGGAGAAGGGGATGGAATCTGGGAGAAGGTGATGGAATCGGGAAGAAGGGATAGAATCTGGGAGAAGGGGATGGAATCTGGGAGAAGGGGATGGAATCTGGGAGAAGGGGATGGAATCTGGGAGAAGGGGATTGAATCTGAGAGAAGGGGATGTAATCTGGGAGAAGGGGATGGAATCTGGAAGAAGGGGATGGAATCTGGGAGAAGGGGATGGAATCTGGGAGAAGGGGATGGAATCTAGGAGAAGGGGATGGAATTTGGGAGATGGGGATGGAATCTGGGAGAAGGGGATGGAATCTAGGAGAAGGGGATGGAATCAGGGAGAAGGGGATGGAATCTGGGAGAAGGGGATGGAATTTAGGAGAAGGGGATGGAATCTGGGAGAAGGGGATGCAGTCAAAGAGAAGGGGATGGAATCGGGGAGAAGGGGATGGAATCAAAGAGAAGGGGATGGAATTTGGGAGAATGGGATGGATTTGGGAGAAGGAGATGGAATCTGGGAGAAGGGAATGGAATCTGGGAGAAGGGGATGGAATCTGGGAGAAGGGGATGGAATCTGGGAGAAGGGGATGGAATCTGGGAGAAGGGGATGGAATCTGGGAGAAGGGGATGGAATCTGGTAGAAGGGGATGGAATCTGGGAGAAGGGGATGGAATCTGGGAGAAGGGGATGGAATCTGGGAGTAGGGGATGGAATTTGGGACAAGGGGATGGAATTTGGGAGAAGGGTATGGAATCAGGGAGAAAGGATGGAATGTGAGAGAAGGGGATGGAATCTGGGAGAAGGGGATGGAATCTGGGAGAAGGGGATGGAATCTGGGAGAAGGGGATGGAATCTGGGAGAAGGGGATGGAATCAGGGAGAAGGGGATGGAATCTGGGAGTAGGGGATGGAATTTGGGACAAGGGGATGGAATTTGGGAGAAGGGTATGGAATCAGGGAGAAAGGATGGAATGTGAGAGAAGGGGATGGAATCTGGGAGAAGGGGATGGAATCTGGGAGAAGGGGATGGAATCTGGGAGAAGGGGATGGAATCTGGGACAAGGGGATGGAATTTGGGACAAGGGGATGGAATCTGGGAGAAGGGTATGGAATCAGGGAGAAGGGATGGAATGAGGGAGAAGGGGAGGGAATCTGGGAGAAGGGGATGGAATCTGGGAGAAGGGGATGGAATATGGGAGAAGGGGATGGAATTTGGGAGAAGGGGATGGAATCTGGGAGAAGGGGATGGAATTTGGGAGAAGGAGATGGAATCTGGGAGAAGGGAATGGAATCTGGGAGAAGGGGATGGAATCTGGGAGAAGGGGATGGAATCTGGGAGAAGGGGATGGAATCTGGGAGAAGGGGATGGAATCTGGGAGAAGGGGATGGAATCTGGGAGAAGGGGATGGAATCTGGGAGAAGGGGATGGAATCTGGGAGAAGGGGATGGAATCAGGGAGAAGGGGATGGAATCTGGGAGAAGGGGATGGAATCTGGGAGAAGGGGATGGAATCTGGGAGAAGGGGATGGAATCAGGGAGAAGGGGATGGAATCTAGGAGAAGGTGATGGAATCGGCGAGAAGGAATGGAATCTGGGAGAAGGGGATGGAATCTGGGAGAAGGGGATGGAATTTGGGAGAAGGGGATTGATTCTGGGAGAACGGGTGGAATCTGGGAGAAGGGGAAGGAATCCGAGAGAAGGGGATGGAATCTGGGAGAAGGGGATGGAATCTGGGAGAAGGGGATGGAATCTGGGAGAAGGGGATGGAATCAGGGAGAAGGGGATGGAATCTAGGAGAAGGTGATGGAATCGGGGAGAAGGGATGGAATCTGGGAGAAGGGGATGGAATCTGGGAGAAGGGGATGGAATCTGGGAGAAGGGGATGGAATTTGGGAGAAGGGGATTGATTCTGGGAGAACGGGTGGAATCTGGGAGAAGGGGAAGGAATCCGAGAGAAGGGGATGGAATCTGGCAGAAGGGGATGGAATCTGGGAGAAGGGGATGGAATCTGGGAGAAGGGGATGGAATCTGGGAGAAGGGGATGGAATCAGGGAGAAGGGGATGGAATCTGGGAGACGGGGATGGAATGAGGGAGAAGGGGATGGAATCGGGGAGAAGGGGATGGAATCTAGGAGAAGGGGATGGAATTTAGGAGAAGGGGATGGAATCTGGGAGAAGGGGATGCAATCAGGGAGAAGGGGATGGAATAGGGGAGAAGGGGATGGAATCAAAGAGAAGGGGATGGAATTTGGGAGAATGGGATGGAATTTGGGAGAAGGAGATGGAATCTGGGAGAAGGGGATGGAATCTGGGAGAAGGGGATGGAATATGGGAGAATGGGATGGAATCTGGGAGAAGGGGATGGAAACTGGGAGAAGGGGATGGAATCTGGGAGAAGGGCATGGAATCAGGGAGAAGGGGATGGAATCTGGGAGAAGGGGATGGAATATGGGAGAAGGGGATGGAATCTGGGAGAAGGGGATGGAATCTGGGAGAAGGGGATGGAATCTGGGAGAAGGTGATGGAATCGGGAAGAAGGGATAGAATCTGGGAGAAGGGGATGGAATCTGGGAGAAGGGGATGGAATCTGGGAGAAGGGGATGGAATCTGGGAGAAGGGCATGGAATCAGGGAGAAGGGGATGGAATCTGGGAGAAGGGGATGGAATCTGGGAGAAGGGGATGGAATCTGGGAGAAGGGGATGGAATCTGGGAGAAGGGGATGGAATCTGGGAGAAGGTGATGGAATCGGGAAGAAGGGATAGAATCTAGGAGAAGGGGATGGAGTCTGGGAGAAGGGGATGGAATCTGGGAGAAGGGGATGGAATTTGGGAGAAGGGATGGAATCTGGGAGAAGGGGATGGAATCTGGGAGAAGGGGATGGAATCTGGGAGAAGGGGATGGAATCTGGGAGAAGGGGATGGAATCTGGGAGAAGGGGATGGAATCTTGGAGAAGGGGATGGAATTTGGGAGAAGGGGATGGAATCTGGGAGAAGGGGATGGAATCTGGGAGAAGGGGATGGAATCTGGGAGAAGGGGAAGGAATCTGGGAGAAGGGGATGGAATCTGGGAGAAGGGGATGGAATCTGGGAGAAGGGGATGGAATCTGGGAGAAGGGGATGGAATATGGGAGAAGGGGATGGAATCTGGGAGAAGAGGATGGAATCTGGGAGAAGGGGATGGAATCTGGGAGAATGGGAATGGAATTAGGGAGAAGGGGATGGAATCTGGGAGAAAGGGATGGAATCAGGGAGAAGGGGATGGAATCTGGGAGAAGGGGATGGAATTTAGGAGAAGGGGATGGAATCTAGAGAAGGGGATGCAGTCAGAGAGAAGGGGATGGAATCGGGGAGAAGGGGATGGAATCAAAGAGAAGGGGATCGAATTTGGGAGAATGGGATGTATTTGGGAGAAGGAGATGGAATCTTGGAGAAGGGAATGGAATCTGGGAGAAGGGGATGGAATCTGGGAGAAGGGGATGGAATCTGGGAGAAGGGGATGGAATCTGGGAGAAGGGGATGGAATCTGAGAGAAGGGGATGGAATCAGGGAGAAGGGGATGGAATCTGGGAGAAGGGGATGGAATCTGGGAGAAGGGGATGTTATCTGGGAGAAGGGGATGGAATCTGGGAGAAGGAGATGGAATCAGGGAGAAGGGGATGGAATCTGGGAGAAGGGGATGGAATCTGGGAGAAGGGGATGGAATTTGGGACAAGGGGATGGAATTTGGGAGAAGGGTATAGAATCAGGGAGAAAGGATGGAATGTGGGAGAAGGGGATGGAATCTGGGAGAAGGGGATGGAATCTGGGAGAAGGGGATGGAATCTGGGAGAAGGGGATGGAATCTGGGAGAAGAGGATGGAATCTGGGAGAAGGGGATGGAATCTGGGAGAATGGGAATGGAATTAGGGAGAAGGGGATGGAATCTGGGAGAAAGGGATGGAATCAGGGAGAAGGGGATGGAATCTTGGAGAAGGGGATGGAATTTAGGAGAAGGGGATGGAATCTAGAGAAGGGGATGCAGTCAGAGAGAAGGGGATGGAATCGGGGAGAAGGGGATGGAATCAAAGAGAAGGGGATCGAATTTGGGAGAATGGGATGGATTTGGGAGAAGGAGATGGAATCTTGGAGAAGGGAATGGAATCTGGGAGAAGGGGATGGAATCTGGGAGAAGGGGATGGAATCTGGGAGAAGGGGATGGAATCTGGGAGAAGGGGATGGAATCTGAGAGAAGGGGATGGAATCAGGGAGAAGGGGATGGAATCTGGGAGAAGGGGATGGAATCTGGGAGAAGGGGATGGAATCTGGGAGAAGGGGATGGAATCTGGGAGAAGGGGATGGAATCTGGGAGAAGGGGATGGAATCTGGGAGAAGGGGATGGAATATGGGAGAAGGGGATGGAATCTGGGAGAAGGAGATGGAATCAGGGAGAAGGGGATGGAATCTGGGAGAAGGGGATGGAATCTGGGAGAAGGGGATGGAATTTGGGACAAGGGGATGGAATTTGGGAGAAGGGTATAGAATCAGGGAGAAAGGATGGAATGTGGGAGAAGGGGATGGAATCTGGGAGAAGGGGATGGAATCTGGGAGAAGGGGATGGAATATGGGAGAAGGGGATGGAATCTGGGAGAAGAGGATGGAATCTGGGAGAAGGGGATGGAATCTGGGAGAATGGGAATGGAATTAGGGAGAAGGGGATGGAATCTGGGAGAAAGGGATGGAATCAGGGAGAAGGGGATGGAATCTTGGAGAAGGGGATGGAATTTAGGAGAACGGGATGGAATCTGGGAGAAGGGGATGCAGTCAGAGAGAAGGGGATGGAATCTGGGAGAAGGGGATGGAATCAAAGAGAAGGGGATGGAATTTGGGAGAATGGGATGGATTTGGGAGAAGGAGATGGAATCTGGGAGAAGGGGATGGAATCTAGGAGAAGGGGATGGAATCAGGGAGAAGGGGATGGAATCTAGGAGAAGGGGATGGAATTTAGGAGAAGGGGATGGAATCTGGGAGAAGGGGATGCAATCAGGGAGAAGGGGATGGAATCGGGGAGAAGGGGATGGAATCAAAGAGAAGGGGATGGAATTTGGGAGAATGGGATGGAATTTGGGAGAAGGAGATGGAATCTGGGAGAAGGGGATGGAATCTGGGAGAAGGGGATGGAATATGGGAGAAGGGGATGGAATCTGGGAGAAGGGGATGGAAACTGGGAGAAGGGGATGGAATCTGGGAGAAGGGCATGGAATCAGGGAGAAGGGGATGGAATCTGGGAGAAGGGGATGGAATCTGGGAGAAGGGGATGGAATCTGGGAGAAGGGGATGGAATCTGGGAGAAGGGGATGGAATCTGGGAGAAGGTGATGGAATCGGGAAGAAGGGATAGAATCTGGGAGAAGGGGATGGAATCTGGGAGAAGGGGATGGAATCTGGGAGAAGGGGATGGAATCTGGGAGAAGGGATGGAATTTGGGAGAAGGGGATGGAATCTGGAAGAAGGGGATGGAATCTGGGAGAAGGGGATGGAATCTGGGAGAAGGGGATGGAATCTGGGAGAAGGGGATGGAATCTGGGAGAAGGGGATGGAATCTTGGAGAAGGGGATGGAATTTGGGAGAAGGGGATGGAATCTGGGAGAAGGGGATGGAATCTGGGAGAAGGGGATGGAATCTGGGAGAAGGGGAAGGAATCTGGGAGAAGGGGATGGAATCTGGGAGAAGGGGATGGAATCTGGGAGAAGGGGATTGAATCTGGGAGAAGGGGATGGAATATGGGAGAAGGGGATGGAATCTGGGAGAAGAGGATGGAATTTGGGAGAAGGGGATGGAATCTGGGAGAATGGGAATGGAATTAGGGAGAAGGGGATGGAATCTGGGAGAAAGGGATGGAATCAGGGAGAAGGGGATGGAATCTGGGAGAAGGGGATGGAATCTGGGAGAAGGGGATGGAATCTGGGAGAAGGGGATGGAATCTGGGAGAAGGGGATGGAATCTGGGAGAAGGAGATGGAATCAGGGAGAAGGGGATGGAATCAGGGAGAAGGGGATGGAATCTGGGAGAAGGGGATGGAATTTGGGACAAGGGGATGGAATTTGGGAGAAGGGTATAGAATCAGGGAGAAAGGATGGAATGTAGGAGAAGGGGATGGAATCTGGGAGAAGGGGATGGAATCTGGGAGAAAGGGATGGAATCAGGGAGAAGGGGATGGAATCTTGGAGAAGGGGATGGAATTTAGGAGAACGGGATGGAATCTGGGAGAAGGGGATGCAGTCAGAGAGAAGGGGATGGAATCGGGGAGAAGGGGATGGAATCAAAGAGAAGGGGATGGAATTTGGGAGAATGGGATGGATTTGGGAGAAGGAGATGGAATCTGGGAGAAGGGGATGGAATCTAGGAGAAGGGGATGGAATCAGGGAGAAGGGGATGGAATCTAGGAGAAGGGGATGGAATTTAGGAGAAGGGGATGGAATCTGGGAGAAGGGGATGCAATCAGGGAGAAGGGGATGGAATCGGGGAGAAGGGGATGGAATCAAAGAGAAGGGGATGGAATTTGGGAGAATGGGATGGAATTTGGGAGAAGGAGATGGAATCTGGGAGAAGGGGATGGAATCTGGGAGAAGGGGATGGAATATGGGAGAAGGGGATGGAATCTGGGAGAAGGGGATGGAAACTGGGAGAAGGGGATGGAATCTGGGAGAAGGGCATGGAATCAGGGAGAAGGGGATGGAATCTGGGAGAAGGGGATGGAATCTGGGAGAAGGGGATGGAATCTGGGAGAAGGGGATGGAATCTGGGAGAAGGGGATGGAATCTGGGAGAAGGTGATGGAATCGGGAAGAAGGGATAGAATCTGGGAGAAGGGGATGGAATCTGGGAGAAGGGGATGGAATCTGGGAGAAGGGGATGGAATTTGGGAGAAGGGGATGGAATCTGGAAGAAGGGGATGGAATCTGGGAGAAGGGGATGGAATCTGGGAGAAGGGGATGGAATCTGGGAGAAGGGGATGGAATCTGGGAGAAGGGGATGGAATCTTGGAGAAGGGGATGGAATTTGGGAGAAGGGGATGGAATCTGGGAGAAGGGGATGGAATCTGGGAGAAGGGGATGGAATCTGGGAGAAGGGGAAGGAATCTGGGAGAAGGGGATGGAATCTGGGAGAAGGGGATGGAATCTGGGAGAAGGGGATTGAATCTGGGAGAAGGGGATGGAATATGGGAGAAGGGGATGGAATCTGGGAGAAGAGGATGGAATTTGGGAGAAGGGGATGGAATCTGGGAGAATGGGAATGGAATTAGGGAGAAGGGGATGGAATCTGGGAGAAAGGGATGGAATCAGGGAGAAGGGGATGGAATCTGGGAGAAGGGGATGGAATCTGGGAGAAGGGGATGGAATCTGGGAGAAGGGGATGGAATCTGGGAGAAGGGGATGGAATCTGGGAGAAGGAGATGGAATCAGGAGAAGGGATGGAATCAGGGAGAAGGGGATGGAATCTGGGAGAAGGGGATGGAATTTGGGACAAGGGGATGGAATTTGGGAGAAGGGTATAGAATCAGGGAGAAAGGATGGAATGTAGGAGAAGGGGATGGAATCTGGGAGAAGGGGATGGAATCTGGGAGAAGGGGATGGAATCTGGGAGAATGGGATGGAATCTGGGAGAAGAGGATGGAATCTGGGAGAAGGGGATGGAATCTGGGAGAATGGGAATGGAATTAGGGAGAAGGGGATGGAATCTGGGAGAAAGGGATGGAATCAGGGAGAAGGGGATGGAATCTTGGAGAAGGGGATGGAATTTAGGAGAACGGGATGGAATCTGGGAGAAGGGGATGCAGTCAGAGAGAAGGGGATGGAATCGGGGAGAAGGGGATGGAATCAAAGAGAAGGGGATGGAATTTGGGAGAATGGGATGGATTTGGGAGAAGGAGATGGAATCTGGGAGAAGGGAATGGAATCTGGGAGAAGGGGATGGAATCTGGGAGAAGGGGATGGAATCAGGGAGAAGGGGATGGAATCTGGGAGAAGGGGATGGAATCTGGGAGAAGGGGATCGAATCTGGGAGAAGGGGATGGAATCTGGGAGAAGGGGATGGAATCAGGGACAAGGTGATGGAATCGGGGAGAAGGGATAGAATCTGGGAGAAGGGGATGGAATCTCGGAGAAGGGGATGGAATCTGGGAGAAGGGGATGGAATTTGGGAGAAGGGGATGGAATCTGGGAGAAGAGGATGGAATCTGGGAGAAGGGGATGGAATCTGGGAGAAGGGGATGGAATCTGGGAGAAGGGGATGGAATCTGGGAGAAGGGGATGGAATCTGGGAGAAGGGGATGGAATCATGGAGTAGGGGATGGAATCTGGGAGAAGGGGATGGAATCTGGGAGAAGGGGATGGAATCTGGGAGAAGGGGATGGAATCTGGGAGAAGGGGATGGAATCAGGGAGAAGGGGATGGAATCAGGGACTGGGAGAAGAGGATGGAATCTGGGAGAAGGGGATGGAATCTGGGAGAATGGGAATGGAATAAGGGAGAAGGGGATGGAATCTGGGAGAAAGGGATGGAATCAGGGAGAAGGGGATGGAATCTGGGAGAAGGGGATGGAATTTAGGAGAAGGGGATGGAATCTAGGAGAAGGGGATGCAGTCGGAGAGAAGGGGATGGAATCGGGGAGAAGGGGATGGAATCAAAGAGAAGGGGATGAATTTGGGAGAATGGGATGGATTTGGGAGAAGGAGATGGAATCTGGGAGAAGGGAATGGAATCTGGGAGAAGGGGATGGAATCTGGGAGAAGGGGATGGAATCTGGGAGAAGGGGATGGAATCTGGGAGAAGGGGATGGAATCAGGGAGAAGGTGATGGAATCGGGGAGAAGGGATAGAATCTAGGAGAAGGGGATGGAATCTCGGAGAAGGGGATGGAATCTGGGAGAAGGGGATGGAATTTGGTAGAAGGGGATGGAATCTGGGAGAAGGGGATGGAATCTGGGAGAAGGGGATGGAATCTGGGAGAAGGGGATGGAATCTGGGAGAAAGGGATGGAATCAGGGAGAAGGGGATGGAATCTGGGAGAAGGGGATGGAATTTAGGAGAATGGGATGGAATCTGGGAGAAGGGGATGCAGTCAGAGAGAAGGGGGATGGAATCGGGGAGAAGGGGATGGAATCAAAGAGAAGGGAATGGAATTTGGGAGAATGGGATGGATTTGGGAGAAGGAGAAGGAATCTGGGAGAAGGGAATGGAATCTGGGAGAAGGGGATGGAATCTGGGAGAAGGGGATGGAATCTGGGAGAAGGGATGGAATCTCGGAGAAGGGGATGGAATCTGGGAGAAGGGGATGGAATCTGGGAGAAGGGAATGGAATCTGGGAGAAGGGGATGTAATCAGGGAGAAGGGGATGGAATCTGGGAGAAGGGGATGGAAATATGGGAGAAGGGGGATGGAATTTGGGACAAGGGGATGGAATCTGGGAGAAGGGTATGGAATCAGGTAGAAGGGATGGAATGTGGGAGAAGGGGATGGAATCTGGGAGAAGGGGATGGAATCAGGAGAAGGGGAAGGAATATGGGAGAAGGGGATGGAATCTGGGAGAAGACGATGGAATCTGAGAGAAGGGGATGGAATCTGGGAGAAGGGGATGGAATCTGGGAGAAGGGGATGGAATCTGGGAGAAGGGGATGGAATCTGGGAGAAGGGGATGGAATCTAGGAGAAGGGGATGGAATAAGGGAGAAGGGGATGGAATCTGGGAGAAGGGGATGGAATATGGGAGAAGGGGATTGGAATTTGGGACAAGGGGATGGAATCTGGGAGACGGGTATGGAATCAGGTAGAAGGGATGGAATGTGGGAGAAGGGGATGGGATCTGGGAGAAGGGGATGGAATCTGGGAGAAGGGGATGGAAATCTGGGAGAAGGGGGATGGAATCTGGGAGAAGGGGATGGAATCAGGGAGAAGGTGATGGAATCGGGGAGAAGGGATAGAATCTAGGAGAAGGGTATGGAATCTCGGAGAAGGGGATGGAATCTGGGAGAAGGGGATGGAATTTGGGAGAAGGGGATGGAATCTGGGAGAAGGGGATGGAATCTGGGAGAAGGGGATGGAATCTAGGAGAAGGGGATGGAATCTGGGAGAAGGGGATGGGAATCTGGGAGAAGGGGATGGAATCTGGGAGAAGGGGATGGAATCAGGGGAGAAGGTGATGGAATCGGGGAGAAGGGATAGAATCTAAGGAGAAGGGGATGGAATCTCGGAGAAGGGGATGGAATCTGGGAGAAGGGGAATGGAATTTGGGAGAAGGGGATGGAATCAAAGAGAAGGGATGGAATTGGGAAATGGGATTGGGATTGGAGAAGGGGATGGAATCTGGGAGAAGGGGATGGAATCTGGGAGAAGGGGATGGAATCTGGGAGAAGGGGATGGAATCTGGGAGAAGGGGATGGAATCTGGGAGAAGGGGATGGAATCTGGGAGAAGGGGATGGAATCTGGGAGAAGGGGATGGAATCAAAGAGAAGGGATGGAATTTGGGAGAATGGGATGGAATCTGGGAGAAGGGATGGAATCTGGGAGAAGGGAATGGAATCTGGGAGAAGGGGATGGAATCTGGGAGAAGGGTGGATTTGGGAGAAGGGGATGGAATCTGGGAGAAGGGATGGAATCTGGGAGAAGGGATGGAATCTGGGAGAAGGGGATGGAATCTGGGAGAAGGGGATGGAATCAGGGAGAAGGGGATGGAATCTGGGAGAAGGGATGGAATCTGGGAGAAGGGGATGGAATTTGGGAGAAGGGGATGGAATCTGGGAGAAGGGGATGGAATCAGGAGAAGGGATGGAATCTGGGAGAAGGGGATGGAATCTGGAGAAGGGGATGGAATCTGGAGAAGGGATGGAATGGAGAAGGGGATGGAATCTGGAGAAGGGGATGGAATCTGGGAGAAGGGGATGGAATCTGGGAGAAGGGATGGAATCTGGGAGAAGGGGATGGAATCTGGGAGAAGGGGATGGAATCTGGAGAAGGGGATGGAATCTGGGAGAAGGGGATGGAATCTGGGAGAAGGGGATGGAATCTGGGAGAAGGGATGGAATCTGGGAGAAGGGGATGGAATTTGGGAGAAGGGATGGAATCTGGGAGAAGGGATGGAATCAGGTAGAAGGGATGGAATTGGGAGAAGGGGATGGAATCTGGGAGAAGGGGATGGAATCTGGGAGAAGGGATGGAATCTGGGAGAAGGGGATGGAATCTGGGAGAAGGGAATGGAATCAGGGAGAAGGGGATGGAATCGGGAGAAGGGATGGAATCTAGGAGAAGGGATGGAATCTGGGAGAAGGGGATGGAATCTGGGAGAAGGGGATGGAATCGGGAGAAGGGGATGGAATCTTGGAGAAGGGGATGGAATCTGGGAGAAGGGGATGGAATCTGGGAGAAGGGGATGGAATCAGGGAGAAGGGGATGGAATCTGGGAGAAGGGGATGGAATCTGGGAGAAGGGGATGGAATCTGGGAGAAGGGATGGAATCTGGGAGAAGGGGATGGAATCTGGGAGAAGGGGATGGAATCAGGGAGAAGGGGATGGAATCGGGAGAAGGGGATGGAAT